GCGCGGTGGGCGAGCTGTCTAAGGCGCCAGGCTAGTGATCCAGCAAGGTTGAGGTGTCGGGATTGAGCCGAACTGTGACCGGGTGTATAAACCCTTGGAGTCAACTTTGTGTGCAGACTCTTTCAGTGTTGTCACACCCTCTAGTGTACAGTACACAACCCTGTGCACTTAAAAGAACCCACGAATCCGTTGGTATGTGACCAGATGGTGGCCACATGAATACGTGCAAACATCTAGTTGCGGGTACAGCAACGTGGAGTAAACTTGGACAAAATACTGTGACTATGTGTCCCAGTCCACCCAGCTGCGAATGGGTACCTCGTAAGGATGGGAAAGCCACATTAACTCGGTGCGCCTAGTGGCTGCAAGAGTTGTATACTCCCCAGCGAGTTGAGATTGATAATACGATGTGCCGTTGAGGTTGACATCCAATGATCGAGGGGAAAATACCAGCGCCTTGAGCATGCATTAGTTGCCTGGATATGTGCGCTATATAAATATCCTATAATATAATAATAACCAATATTACAGGTATACACTAGGTATTGTGCTCAACTTGGTATGTATAGTACGGTAATGACGGTCACACGCTACTGTATGGTCCCTATACATAGAACACAAGTACAAGTTGTATGTATATTGAAGCCATCCACTTGAGAACGTACCTGAATGTTGTAATGGTGTGTTTTCATTCTAGTCACTCTTGAGTTCTTACTTGTTTCTTTGCCGATTTCAGAGACCAAAGCACCGTTTAGAACTAATGGCCAGTGATAGTGATAGCTGACGGCTGTATGTTGCCGGAATAGCCTTCCCTTTCCTGACCACGGGAGAACGTGATGTCACTGAAGCGGCTCGTGTTGACATGGATCACATCAAATAAATCAGTTCCAGATTCATGCCATGCACTGGTTGACACTGACACAGAAATGACCAGCAGTGATAGGGTTTGGATACTATGGCAATACGTCATTGAACTTCTGGTCAAGTTCAGTCATCGCCATATGAACAATAGTCAGAGGTGCGCGAGGAATTTCCAAAAGTGTTTTTACTGGTATATGGGAGATTTATGACCTAATTTGAACTTTGTAGTCATGACCCTACATTAACTGTCTGGGTTCCACAAGTTATGCAAGGATATCTGTACGGGGGGTTGGGGTAGGGAGTGGGGGGTGGGGGTTTGTTACTTATGGCTGCTACCATCCATTGTATTGTTTTGTGTCGACAAACCTATAACTGGATGTTTATCTATAATATATTAATTATTTATAGTGCCTGTGTGGTCAATTCTTCACAGGTGAAATTAACACCAGCAACACAAGACTGAGTAACAGGCGCTGTTGGGTGTCCTATAGTCTGTCTCACAGTGCCTGAACCACGTTATGTTCCCTACAGCCTAGCCTTCCCTGTAGTGCTAAAGCCCTGAACGAAGCAAGTCTAGATTTCCCCAGGTTCAGAATCTCTGGTCTCCCTAGGGCTCCTTTTCAATTTAAATGGGCTTGTTTGTTACTATCAAAATTATATATATTCAGAGACTAAGCCTTAGTCTAGGTGTCCTACACAGAGATAACCTAACACCAGCAACACTAGACTGAGTAACAGGCGCTGCAGGGTGTCCTACACATAGATAACCTAACACCAGCAACACTAGACTGAGTAACAGGTGCTGCAGGGTGTCCTACACATAGATAACCTAACACCAGCAACACTAGACTGAGTAACAGGCGCTGCAGGGTGTCCTACACAGAGATAACCTAACACCAGCAACACTAGACTGAGTAACAGGTGCTGCAGGGTGTCCTACACAGAGATAACCTAACACCAGCAACACTAGACTGAGTAACAGGCGCTGCAGGGTGTTCTACACAGAGATAACCTAACACCAGCAACACTAGACTGAGTAAGAGGTGCTGTAGGGTGTCCTACACATAGATAACCTAACACCAGCAACACTAGACTGAGTAACAGGCGCTGCAGGGTGTCCTACACAGAGATAACCTAACACTAGCAATACTAGACTGAGTAACAGGCGCTGTAGGGTGTCCTACACATAGATAACCTAACATCAGCAACACTAGGCTGAGTAACAGGCGCTGCAGGGTGTCCTACACAGAGATAACCTTTAACTAACACCAGAATTCATAACAACCTTAACAATAAACTTATATTTCTGCATAAATGTTCCGGCTCAAAATATGGTCATTTGTTGTTGTAAATGATATTTTTTTCTTGATATAATTGACAGTTTGTGCGTATGGTAGCGGTTACTCACAGGATCAATAATGTTTCTCCAGGGTGTTGTTACACTCACTAAACTTGGCTCTTTCAAATCTCTCTCTAAGATGCCGGGGAATTGTCCTAGGGTGTCAAATAAGTGGTCATAAATCAGCAGCCTCCACAGTGGGTACGTGAGGAAGGGTGTAGATGTTCCTGTAAAGTCGACCTGGCTACGGAGGATTTTGGAGTGGAGAGAAGGTGTCGGCGAAATGGTTCGTTAGGGGAGTTTCACACATGGTAATGGGGGTCATGGAAAGAGTTAAACCTGATCTCAGACTTCTCTGCCCGATCTGATAAATTGTTGGTCAGCGAGTGGCGCATGGTGGTTGGCGTGGGTGGAGCCTGTCCGTGGTCGTAATGTGAGCGTTAATGCACATGGCTCCTGTAGTAAGTGGGTTGATTGCTAGAGTGTGGTAGAGTAGGTCGAGTACTCGCGACAGAAAGGATGCAGGGTGACGTAGAGTGCTTATCGCCTTCCAGAACTAATGCTAATCCAAGACGATGTCATTATTATATCTTACTTCACTTTTACGTTACTGTATAAATAACTTGTCAACCAGCTCATGTTGATTCAGTTGTTTCTGCTGATAAACTGTTTGGGGGGTAGAATACCTTGACCATTCCAAGAGTTTACTTGACTGCCAAGGCGTGCTCCCATTACAATCAGTCCAGCTGTTATGTAGCTTGAAGGTATGTTGCCAAGAAGCTGCCTACTTTTTCTCAAAAACATTCAAAGCGATGCGTTAAAAAATATATAAATTACTCTGGACCTAAAACAATGTAGAATGAAATATGCATTGGCGAATGTAATTGCAAACAACATGTTGGATTGTAAATAGACAGTAATTGATAATTAGCGATTGTAACACAAATGGAACATAAATATGATCTATATAACCTAGTCCAGTGGAGTATTGATTAGTAGACATGGAACACTGACTAAACACTGAACGGCCAAGCAACATCACGCGGAAGAAATAGATCCATGTGTATGAAGGACTCTGGCTCACATATGACAACACATCTTGAGTTGAAGGCATCATAACAGGTCGTTTTAATGGCACCCTTGTTTAACATTCAAAGTGAATGTGGCTTTACTGGAACTAAAGTCATCATACAAAAGACACCACGTGAAACAAACACCCCACTACAGCGGTCATACATGGGACAGCACCAGCAACAAGTACTCCACTACAGCGCCATACACGGGATAACACCAGCAACAAGTACTCCACTACAGCGGTCATACATGGGACAACACCAGCAACAAGTACTCCACTACAACGGTCATACATGGGACAACACCAGCAACAAGTACTCCTCTACAGCGAACATACATGGGACAACACCAGCAACAAGTATTGCACTACAACGGTCATACATGGGACAACACCACCAACAAGTACTCCACTACAGTGGTCATACATATGACAACACCACCAACAAGTACTCCACTACAGTGGCCATACATATGACAACACCAGCAACAAGTACTCCACTACAGTGGTCATACATGGGACAACACCACCAACAAGTACTCCACTACAACGGTCATACATGGGGCAACACCAGCAACAAGTACTCCACTATAACGGTCAAACATGGGACAACACCAGCAACAAGTACTCCACTATAACGGTCATACATGGGACAACACCAGCAACAAGTACTCCACTACAGTGGTCATACATATGACAACACCACCAACAAGTACTCCACTACAGTGGTCATACATGGGACAACACCTGTAACAAGTACTCCACTACAACGGTCATACATGGGACAACACCAGCAACAAGTACTCCACTACAACGGTCATACATGGGACAACACCAGCAACAAGTACTCCACTACAACGGTCATACATGGGACAACACTAGCAACAAGTATTTCACTACAGCGGACACACATGTGACAACACCAGCAACATTTATTCCACTACAGCGGTCGTACATGGGACAACACCAGCAACATTTATTCCACTACAGCGGTCATACATGATACAACACCAGCAACAAGTACTCAACTACAGCGGTCATACATGGGACAACACCAGCAACAAGTACTCCACTACAACGGTCATACATGGGACAACACCAGCAACACGTACTCCAGTGCAGCGGTCATACATGGTACAACACCAGCAACAAGTACTCCACTACAGCGGTCATACAAGGGACAACACCAGCAACATTAATTCCACTACAGCGGCCATATATGGGACAACACCAGCAAAATTCATTCCACTACAACGGTCATAAATGGGACATGGGACAACACCAGCAACAAGTACCCAACTACAGTAGTCATACATGGGATATAAATGGGACATGGGACAACACCAGCAACAAGTACCCCACTACAGTGGTCATACATGGGACAACACCAGCAACATTTATTCCACTACAGCGGTCATACATGGGACAACACCAGCAACAAGTACTTCACTACAACGGTCATACATGGGACAACACCAGCAACAAGTACTCCACTACAACGGTCATACATAGGACAACGCCACCAACAAGTGCTCAACTACAGCGGTCATACATGAGACTACACCAGCAACATTTATGCAACTACAGCGGTCATATATGGGACAACAACAACAACATTCATTCCACTATAGCGGTCATACATGGGACAACACCAGCAACAAGTGCTCTACTACTCCGGTCATACATGGTACACCACCAGCAACAAGTATTTCACTACAACGGTCATACATGGGACAACACCAGCAACAAGTACTCCGCTACAACGGTCATACATGGGACAACACCAGCAACAAGTACTCCACTACAGTGGCCGTACATGGTACAACACCAGCAACAAGTACTCCACTACAACGGTCGTACATGGGACAACACCAGCAACAAGTGCTCCACTACAGCGGTCGTACATGTGACAACACCAGCAACAAGTACTCCACTACAACGGTCGTACATGTGACAACACCAGCAACAAGTACTCCACTACAACGGTCATACATGGGACAACAACAACAACATTCATTCCACTACAACGGTCGTACATGTGACAACACCAGCAACAAGTACTCCACTACAGTGGCCGTACATGGTACAACACCAGCAACAAGTACTCCGCTACAACGGTCATACATGGGACAACACCAGCAACAAGTGCTCCACTACAGCGGTCGTACATGTGACAACACCAGCAACAAGTACTCCACTACAACGGTCGTACATGTGACAACACCAGCAACAAGTACTCCACTACAACGGTCATACATGGGACAACACCAGCAACAAGTATTTCACTACAACGGTCATACATGGGACAACACCAGCAACAAGTACTCCACTACAGTGGCCGTACATGGTACAACACCAGCAACAAGTGCTCCACTACAGCGGTCGTACATGTGACAACACCAGCAACAAGTACTCCACTACAACGGTCATACATGGGACAACACCAGCAACAAACACCCCACTACAGCGATCTGAATGAGACAACACCAGCAACAAGTACTCCACTACAGCGACCATACATGGAACAACACCAGAAACAGTTATTCCATTACAGCGACCATACATGGGACAACACCAGCAACATTTATTCCAGTTCAGTGGTCATACATGGGACAACATCAGCAACATCTATTCCACTACAGTGGTCATACATGGGACAACATCAGCAACATCTATTCCACTACAGCTGTCATACATGGGACAACACCAGCAACATTTATTCCACTACAGCTGTCATACATGGGACAACACCAGCAACATTTATTCCACTACAGCGGTCATACATGGGACAATACCAGCAACAAGTACTCCACTACAGCGGTCATACATGGGACAACACCAGCAACAAGTATTCCACTACAGCGGTCATACATGGGACAACACCAGCAACAAGTATTCCACTACAGCGGTCATACATGGTACAACACCAGCAACATTTATTCCACTACAGTGGTCATCACGCGCAAAACAACTACTTAAGAACACTGACGGTATCTTCGATGTATTACTGGAACACCTTCCAAGAGTAGGTGACGTGTTGGTGGATCACAGATCCGTGTGTATGTTAATGACTGATGCCCAATGTAAAGCGTGTTTTTCTATGCACCTGTATGACCTCATCTAAATTCCACAACAAAGGATTTCAATATTATATACTTTCTGTTTTGTGAGGATTACATCGTATTTTTGCCAAGTATTGTAAATGCTGGCATATGTTCACTGATATCCTAGTCCTCTTCACAAAAACATACAGTACCATCCATTTCGGCAGTTTCTAGTGAGATCCACATTCTTGTGCTCTTTGTATGAAGACATTAAGCATTTAATTCCTGATTTCCTCTGGGAAATATGGCAGTTATGTGGAGGTTACTTCATACAAACTGATGGAATGGGAGAAAGGTCAACTTCATCATCAATGCAATTATCGTCATCACTTTTCGGGTTGATGGTAGGCCTACTGCGAATTGTAAATTTGAGACGAATGCAAATTAGGGAAAAAATATCAAATATGGCTTTGTACCAATTGTGAAAGACTGTAAAATAATTACCTTTCAAAGGGATCTCATTATTCTGTGTGTACGGTTGTGCTCTGAATTATTAACATGTGTAACCTACCACAAGCAGAATCACAGTAGGAAAAACAGCCGCTAAACACATCACTCATTTTCTTTTTGTGGAACATGAACATATTCGATCATATTGTATTATGTTCATCACTAGGAATAGATTCGGGTAGAGCGTAATGTCTGTTCATCAGTAGGAATAGATTCGGGTAGATTGCACTGTTTGTTCATCAATAGGAATAGATTCGGGTAGATTGTACTGTCTGTACATCACTACGATTAGATTCGGGTAGATTGTACTGTCTGTTCATCACCAGGATTGCATTCGGGTAGATTGTATTGTCAGTTCATCACTAGGATTAGATTCGGGTAGATCGTACTGCCTGTTCATCACCAGGATTAGATTCGGGTAGATTGTACTGTCTGTTCATCACCAGGATTAGATTCGGGTAGATTGTACTGTCTGTTTATGACCAGGATTAGATTCGGATAGATTGCGCTGTTTGTTCATCACTAGGATTAGATTCGGGTAGATTGTACTGTCTGTTCATCACCAGGATTAGATTCGGGTAGATTGTACTGTCTGTTCATGACTAGGAGTAGATTCGGGTAGATTGTACTGTCTGTTCATCACCAGGATTAGATTCGGGTAGATTGTACTGTCTGTTCATCACTAGGATTAGATTCGGGTAGTTTGAGTTCATCACTAGGAGTAGATTCGGATAGATTGTACTGTCTGTTCATCACCAGGATTAGATTCGGGTAGATTGTACTGTCTGTTCATCACCAGGATTAGATTCGGGTAGTTTGAGTTCATCACTAGGAGTAGATTCGGATAGATTGTACTGTCTGTTCATCACCAGGATTAGATTCGGGTAGATTGTACTGTCTGTTCATCACCAGGATTGGATTCGGGTAGATTGTACTGTCTGTTCATCACCAGGATTAGATTCGGGTAGATTGAGTTCATCACTAGGAGTAGATTCGGGTAGATTGTACTGTCTGTTCATCACCAGGATTAGATTCGGGTAGATTGTTCTGTCTGTTCATTACCAGGATTAGATTCGGGTAGATTGAGTTCATCACTAGGAGTAGATTCAGGTAGATTGTACTGTCTGTTCATCACCAGGATTAGATTCGGGTAGATTGTACTGTCTGTTCATCACTAGGAGTAGATTCGGGTAGATTGAGTTCATCACTAGGAGTAGATTCGGGTAGATTGTACTGTCTGTTCATCACCAGGATTAGATTCGGGTAGATTGTACTGTCTGTTCATCACCAGGATTAGATTCGGGTAGATTGTACTGTCTGTTCATCACCAGGATTAGATTCGGGTAGATTGTACTGTCTGTTCATCACTAGGAGTAGATTCGGGTAGATTGAGTTCATCACTAGGATTAGATTCGGGTAGATTGTACTGTCTGTTCATCACCAGGATTAGATTCGGGTAGATTGTACTGTCTGTTCATCACCAGGATTAGATTCGGGTAGATTGTACTGTCTGTTCATCACTAGGATTAGATTCGGGTAGTTTGAGTTCATCACTAGGAGTAGATTCGGATAGATTGTACTGTCTGTTCATCACCAGGATTAGATTCGGGTAGATTGTACTGTCTGTTCATCACCAGGATTAGATTCGGGTAGTTTGAGTTCATCACTAGGAGTAGATTCGGATAGATTGTACTGTCTGTTCATCTCCAGGATTAGATTCGGGTAGATTGTACTGTCTGTTCATCACCAGGATTAGATTCGGGTAGATTGAGTTCATCACTAGGATTAGATTCGGGTAGATTGTACTGTCTGTTCATCACCAGGATTAGATTCGGGTAGATTGTACTGTCTGTTCATCACCAGGATTAGATTCGGGTAGATTGTTCTGTCTGTTCATTACCAGGATTAGATTCGGGTAGATTGAGTTCATCACTAGGAGTAGATTCGGGTAGATTGTACTGTCTGTTCATCACTAGTATTAGATTCGGGTAGATCGTACTCTCTGTTCAAAACCATTCCACTCAGACATATTTGGTTTTCATGACTTGGTTCAGATTCGTGCGTACTGTGATGTCTGCTTGTATTGAGACAATACATATGCATTCCTAAACATATAAGTCACTGACAAAAGAGTCTGCAAACTGTATAAAATGTACCTGATCGGACAAATAGTAATGTTATTAAACATCCAGGCAAAATCCAGACATCAAGTACTGTGTGTTCATCAACCTTAGAATCGGTCATCTTGTATCGTCCCACCAATTCTGCCAGTATTTAAAAAGGTTGATGATTTATGATAATTATCGATTGGGTGAGGTTAGTTAGTTGAATTGTTTGACAGCTATCTTTGCTCTAAACATGGCACTGTTCGCAATGTTTGCTTCTTAATAAGTAAAATACTTTCATCAAGAAAAAACCTGTTGAAGAGCCGTTTTACTCAATGCATCTCAATAAATTGTGGCATACGTTGTCGAAATTAGGAATTTCAGAAAGGCTCTCATATCGGTGATATTTTCATTGTATTTGAAGGTAACATCACGAATGAACCTCAAAGATTGTATTTATAAATATTTTGTGTCATCGCCCTCATTAATCTAATAGTAAACGTAGAGGAAGAATGATACGAGTCTGAATATCCACGGAACATGAAAGCATGTAGAAAGTCATTATAAGTATGCACTCCATCAGACAATCCAGTAATTGACATCATCAGCGTTGATCTACGCAATAGGGATACGATGACATGCAGCAAGCAAGTCAGCTACCCTGACCACCCGATCCGACAAGCAGGGATTGCGGAAGATTAATCCTAACCCTCACCGTCAATTGTGCGAATAGTGTACAGTATCAACAAAAGAGTGTACAGCTAAAACATCAGTGTGTACAAACAACAGAATGTGCAACAGTATAAATAACAGAGTACAACAGTATAAATAACAGAGTGTACAACAGTATAAATAACAGATTGTACAACTGTATAAATAACAGAGTGTACAACTGTATAAATAACAGAGTGTACAACTGTATAAATAACAGAGTGTACAGCCGTATAAATAACACAGTGTACAACTGTATAAATAACACACTGTACAATTGTATAAATAACAGAGTGTACAACTGTATAAATAACACAGTGTACAGCCGTATAAACAACACAGTGTACAACCGTATAAATGACAGAGTGTACAACAGTACAAACAACAGAATGTGCAACAGTATAAATAACAGAGTACAACAGTATAAATAACAGAGTGTACAACAGTATAAATAACAGATTGTACAACTGTATAAATAACAGAGTGTACAACTGTATAAATAACAGAGTGTACAACTGTATAAATAACAGAGTGTACAGCCGTATAAATAACACAGTGTACAACTGTATAAATAACACACTGTACAATTGTATAAATAACAGAGTGTACAACTGTATAAATAACACAGTGTACAGCCGTATAAACAACACAGTGTACAACCGTATAAATGACAGAGCGTACAACAGTATAAATAACAGAGTGTACAACAGTATAAATAACAGATTGTACAACTGTATAAATAACAGAGTGTACAACTGTATGAATAACAGAGTGTACAACTGTATAAATAACAGAGTGTACAACAGTATAAATAACAGATTGTACAACTGTATAAATAACAGAGTGTACAACTGTATAAATGAATAACAGAGTGTACAACTGTATAAATAACAGAGTGTACAACAGTATAAATAACATATTGTACAACTGTATAAATAACAGAGTGTACAACTGTATAAATAACAGAGTGTACAACTGTATAAATAACAGAGTGTACAACTGTATAAATAACAGAGTGTACAAC